ATTATATCTTTATGTTAATTAATATATTTGGATTTATGAAAAAATATTTGATAAAGTAATAAATAACAAATACTCAACAGAATTAAAATAAACTGTATTTTACAATAAAGTTAATAAATATCTTAATAATGGAAAACTAGAGTAAAAGCACTGGACATGTGATTTAATCAGGTAAATTTTAATATTTTATAGTTGATTCTAAAAATATTTTTATTTTTAAGGCTATACTAAAAAAATATTATAGAAATAATTCAAATAATAATAATATTAGTTGTAATGTTAGTGCAAATAATTTCAAGCTTCAGGTCGTATGGCCTTATGTCATTAAACTAGGTCTATTGCACTTAGCGCTATACTAGCATATTGGAAATTAATTCATGATGAATATTAAGTTATTATGAATATTTACTTAGAATTTAGTTATTAAGCTATTATTATAGTTCCATAATTTTATTTGTAATTATACCGGGTGTATATTACTGGAAAACTGAAATATTTACCATAACTTTCACCACACGTTTCCCTTTGACTACTCGGCCTCCGAGTACGGGTGGAAAGACAACTGGAATATAGCGACGGCTTTCATAGATATGTTTGCGTGGATTTTTAAAAATGAATAAACTGGATCTTTATTAATCAATTAAATTCGCCACCCTTATACCACAAAAGTATCATAAGGGAAGCTCTCTAGTACAAATTATTGTTTTTATTAATTTGTACTAGAGAGCTTCCCTTATGATACTTTTGTGGTATAAGGGCGCCCCACGAAAGAAGCAGTTAAGCCCATTATCACCAGGACTAGTGATTTCGACCATAAGTATAAGGAATTAAAAAGGATTTTTTATATTATTTATTATGAAATAAATACATTAATATTAGTAAATATTTTATAATTTGTCTCGAGTAAACCGTTTAATTTACAGTATATTAATCCAATAAGCCTGTGTGTGAATAAAAATTTAATATAATTAATTTTTTATTCTCTGTAACATATTATTTAATTATAAATTTGTGATATTACAATAATTAAATTTTAAATTAGAACATTATAATTAAAATTAGAAAATCTAAATTGTTAATCTGAAATTGAAGTTATTATCACGTTAGTATCATTATGAAGCTAGTATCAAAATTAAAATTATTTTTTGCATTGCATTTAAAACATAGTAATTCAATTATTAAAATTTTTGTGATAAATGCTTATGAGAGAATATTTTGTTTATAAAAATTCCCATTAATAAAAATATAAAATGTTTATTTTATTAGAACTCAAAATTATGCTAATCGGCTGAATGAAGACAATTGGGTATCCATATATTCAATTACAATACGATAGCTTATAATGTTAATAATGTTATAATATGTATAGTTTATATAATTAGAATTATAGTCATACTGTGTTATATGGTATGCTATATGAGAAGCGACATTCTGAAATGTTCTACGTGTTTGTGCATGGAAACCCTATCGGATGGGGCATAAATTTTTGGCAGCCCTAACTAATAAATGTTCAAAAACTAGACATTAATAAGGGAACTGGTAGTGACTGACCATTAATATCTTTTTACACAATTACAGTTTAATACTCTCTTATAATATACAGTATATTTACGCATTTATTTTTGTGGATTTATTATTACATGAATAGCACCTTCAGTATTATGTTCATCCTTGCTCATTTCAATTGTGTCATTACAAACTGTATTATCTGCATATAGCTTCCTATCAAATATAACGTTTGATAAAATCATTGCCAAAGTCAGGAACGGTATCTCAAACCACGCTTTCAAAGGTATAGTAATAGCAAAATTCATAACAATATACACCAAGGTATATAATATAATCATTGAGAGTACATAATAAAATCCATAGGCTATAGACTGAGGTTTAATAGACAGCTCCGGTACTATATTTAAAAATATGACACCCAGACTTGTGTCAAGTAGGTATGAGGTTTGCTGACTGACCCTTATTGGTCGCCAATAGGGTGACCGTAAAAATCGCCAAAAACCTGGTAGACCTATTAATATAATTAAACTTATTATTATTAGAAAAATTATTAGTATCATTAATCTTGGTATTACTATTTTCAATAGCGAAAATAATAAAGTAACATGTCATTAGCATGGTACGATTCCGGATAGTGCATGCTCAATTGCTGTAAATACAGGTAGGCTGTCAAATAGGGATGTATGTCTCATACAAGTTATGATTATGGATGATATGAAATATGTAGTTATTAATGCAAATATTTTTGTTGTCCATGGTGAATTGTATATTCGCTTACTGTGACCCTTCTTCATTATATAGCCAAATATCATCCCGGTGAAATATGCTGTACCGTAGCGAAAAGCAGTCATATGTAACAAATGTATGATGTGACCCGGTATGCTATTTAAATAAAATAAATATATTAACATTTAAAACAATAATCTCAATATAGGTAATGTAATATTTTCCAAAGTTTGGTCATTTTAATGTGACCTAGGTATTACATGGTATATAGTTAATATGGTATTACATGCAAATTATGGGACTACAGCTACGATGTGCAAACATTATATTATAACATTAGTGAGTATAGAGATTAATGTTAAAATGTTTAAAGTCTTGTCACTCATAGTGTGGCCCCAAATGGTTCCAGTATGCATCGTAGGACTACAATATAGATTTAAGAAAAGTAAATATAGTTAATATATTATATTTTTATTTTTTGATCCATGATCTAATAATTATTAGTAAAATATTAAGAATGTAAATACCTATAACAAGTTAAAAGTTAATGTAATTATTGCTTACAAAATAGGACTCGCGATATAAGAAGTAATACTAAAGACATCTGATATGACTTCAGTCGTAATGCCATTGGAGTACACGCTATGAAACACTGATATTATGGACCACATGTTGGCACCGATAAGGGCACAGACACCTAGTTTTGGTTTTCTATTTACAAATAAATTAAGTTAAATATAAATAAAATTGATCTTTTCAATTTTTAAGTTTAAATATAAAAACATGATACCTCATTTGTATTGATTTATTTTAATATTTGTGTTTTAATTATCAGGTTTTTATATTTTAGTTTGGGTCCTATTTTAGTCACAAACAGCAGCCATAGAGTCATGAATGTCAGCACCGGTAGAGGCCCTAAACTGGTCAGCCAATACTGTCGAGTCCGTGGACCGCACTAATGGGCCCAGTAGTTACTTATAGTAATAATTGACAGCTCGCATTAGTGTGTCATTTTAATCATGTTTTTACCACTTTTTGATATCATAATTGTACAATTAGTTTATAATATTTCATTACCATTATTGTGAAGTTTATGATGTTATGTGTTATTGAAAATATAATAAATACAAAATTATATTTTTAAAATTATTTGATTATTATATATAAATAGTTATTTTATATATTTATTTATTGTAATTATTAGTGTAGGAAAGACTTTAAATGTGAATATAATTAAAAGCCACATCATGAATTATCATTTAAATTTTATTTGATATAAGGTTAAACAATAATTATCAATTTGCTGATTAGCATAATTTTAACTTAATAAAATAAATGCAATTTGTTATTTATGTTATTTATATAGTTTGATAAAACTATTTAATAAACAGACTTTTATTCATAAAGCATAATGTTTAATAATCTTATAATTAATTATATTATTTTCATTTTTAGCATGATTTATTAGTTTTAATAAATTATGAGCAATTATAGAAAATTATTTGATTTTCTTTATATTTAAATTTAAATATTAAAAAATTAAAGTTTTTATTTTAATGTTAGCAATTATACTGTTGACAATAGAATAGTGTTATGTTCATATGAGACACTACAAGCTGAAACGCTCGTTGTGTTTGTGAAAGAAAACTGTAAACTGAAGTATAATAATAATGTATAAACCTCTTCCAAGATGGGTAGATCCGCAATTTTAGACATCCCCTCTACTGTGTTATTAATTGTATACAATATTAGTTCAATATTTGCACATATTTTAGGCATAAAAACATAACAAACTATTTTACAGCCTTTTTGAATAGTAAAGTAGATAATCAATACTATGAACCTCAATGATATGACTTGAGTTTTGTCCATAAAAATAGTTTCATTAAATAAACTTAAATTTATATTAAATTAGCTTAACTATGCACTGGATTTACTTAATTGTGTAATGAATTAACTTAATTATGCATTGAATTAACTAAATTTGGCACTGAATTAAATTAAATATGCTCTGGATTTACTTAATAGTGCACTGAATTAATTAGATTGTGAAGTAAATTAAAAATTAAAAATTAATTTAACCAATTGGATTTAATTTTAATTCAGTTCACAATTAAGTTAATTCAGTACACAATTAAGTAAATCCAGTGCATAGCTAAGCTAATTTAATAAAAATTTAAGTTTATTTAATGAAACTATTTTTATGGACAAAACTCAAGTCATATCATTGAGGTTCATAGTATTGATTATCTACTGTACAGTACTATACAAAAAAAGGCTGTAAAATAGTTTGTAATTTTTTATGCCTACAATATGTGCAAATATTGAACTAATATTGTATACAATTAATAACACAGTAGAGGGGATGTTTAAAATTGCGGATCTACCCATCTTGGAAGAGGTTTAGCAATCAAGTTGTATATATTATAATATGAAGAGAAATACTTGAGTTTACAGACACAACGAGCGTTTCAGAATAGGCCTTTTCATATATTTCAACATTAGAAAAAAACACCCTACGTCACTTTTGGTACCTATTATACCGTATATATTGCACTAATGTTCAGAATATAAAATGTTTTAAAAATAGCTTATTATATAAGTATAAACATTTATATTATTTTTAAATGTTGTCAATATTGAATCAGAATCATAACTCTTTAATAATTGAACTAACTTTATGATTAAATTGACATTATATTTGTGTTTAAATATAACATTTAAAATGCATTTAACTGAAAAAATAATGGGACTCATATGGGACGGTGTGAAAGACATAACTGGAAATGTGTTACATTTAAGGACTAAATTTGTGACCAATCAAAGACTCGATGGACAGGTAGTGGTCATCACGGGTGCCAACTCTGGTATCGGAAGAGAAACCGCTATTCAACTAACATTACTGGGCGCTAAGGTATGTATTATTATTCAGTAAAAAATATTAATTTTCCTAGTTTAATCGCTTATTATATTCTAACTAGCTAAGCGCATGAAATAATTTTAAGTACAATAAATAGCCATCTCACTTTATAATTGTGGACTACGCAGGTAATTATGGGTTGCAGGAACCGGGAGAGGGCCGATAGGGCAGCGGAATATCTAATGGCTAACAACATGCATGCGGTCGTAATTGTCATTCAATTGGATTTATCGTCACTCGAGTCGGTCCGAGAATTCGCTGACAAAGTGTCGCAAAACGAGTCACACATTGATATACTTATAAGTAACGCCGGAATCGCCGGAATTCCTGAGCGCCAGACCGTCGATGGCATTGAGATGCAGTTCAGGACAAATTATCTGGGTATTCATAGTCGCCAATTGTGGCCAACATATATCGATATTAACCATAACTTTTATGCCATAAGTTTAGGCCACTTTTTACTAACTCTTACTGTTACCCTTATTGAGGAGCGCCCCTAAAGCCCGGGTAGTGTCGGTGTCTTCGTTTGTATATAAAGTGGGAAAAATACATTTCGATAATATAAACCTAAGGGACGGCGCCTACACTCATTGGAAGGCCTACAATCAGAGCAAATTGGCTAATGTGCTGTTCAGTCGAGAGCTGGCCAAACGGTTGGGTGCCAACAGTACAATCAGTACGTATAGTTTGCATCCAGGTGTCATTAAGACGGACATTGTCCGAAACTATAGACCGTACGTAAAGGGCTTGTATAATATGATCGGTCGCCTACTGTTCCTCACGCCGCGAATGGGCGCTCAGACGTCGCTGTATTGCGCGCTGGAGGACGGCATTGAAAATGAGAGCGGATTTTATTATCAGTAATATTTTTATTGTCAATGTTGGACCATGTCTCAAATTTAAACTATTTATGTCGACAGGGTCTGCAAAAAAGTTGAGGTCAGCCCGATTGCAATGGACGACACGGCCGCTGAAAGACTGTGGGACTTAAGCGTTGATTTAGTGAACCTCGACGCGCACCTAAATCTACCAAGTTCATATTAAACAGACCCGGCTACATGTTACAATAAAATTATAATAAATGTGTATAATTTATGTAAAATTTCTGCATGACATAATTTTATGCCGTTTAAGATGTTAGTAGATTTAAAAACTCTATTATTAACACCGTCTGGATTTATATAAAATACTTTGGTAGTTTTTGTTTTTATAGAACTTGATATTTTTACTAAATTTTCATTTTTTATATAATATATTAAATAATTACACAAAATGCATGTTTTTCTAACAAGGTAATTTTTAATATAGTTATAAAATATAAGTATTTACGTTCCAGATGTATGAATACGATAATTACCTATAATTTATGGTGATTATCGCCTTAAATTCGTAATTTTCGAAAACATGTCCCTCAATGACAATTTGTCGCATAACGCTATGGGATTTTTGGTTCCGCAACCGATATGTTTTGGCACACCCGTCATGCACCATCATTATACAACATTTTCCCATAGGGTTAACATGGGCCAAAAAACACACCTTCATTACATCATCGGAAATACTTTTGCCCACTTTTGCGGTAATTTAAAAAAAATATTGTACAGTAAACATAATGTTATATTCATTAAAAAGTTTAAACAAAATGAATTAATTTTTAAAGACTTCCATACAATAGTATTTAAATTAATTTACATTTTATGTCAACTATTTAAAATTAAAATGATATTATTGTATCATTGATATATAATCAAAGTTAATATTTTTAAAAATCTAATAACAAATAGATGCACATAAACTCAATTCAATTAACATTAGTTAAAGTTTACATAAATATGTATTTGATAAATAAAATTAATGTAGTTTAACCAGAATTACGGATTAAAATATTATTATAAATTTTACATTTAAAAGATCAATTCTTAAAATTATTGTAATTAAAATCCAAAATAAAAATTGGTGTACACAATTTTATCAACTATTTTTGATATTTATACACTAATTCAAAAATCATTGTTGGTAACTGTGTGTTTATTTTCAACATTTAATTTCCTATCAAATATAGCATTTGGCAAAATTATCGCCAAATTCAGGAACGGTATCTCAAACAACGCGGTCAACGGTTTAATAATAGCGTAATTCATAACAATATATACCAGGGTGTATAATATAATCATGGGGAGTACATAATAAAATACTTCGGCTATGGACTGAGGTCTAACCGAAAGCTGCGGTACTATATCTAAAGATATGAGACTCAAACTCATGTGAAGTAGGTATGAGGTCTCCTGGCTGACCCGTATTGGCCGCCAATAAGGTGACCGTAAAAATCTACCATAATATATGTTAAATTTATTATTATTGTCAAAAGTGTAAATGATCCAGTAACAGGTTATTAACATGGGTACGATTCCGGATAATGAATGATGTAATGCTAAAAATATTGATAGATCATCAAATGTCATACACCCTATAATTATGGATGAAATGAAATATGTAGTTATTAATATGAATATTTTTGTTGTCCATGGTGAATTGTATATTTGCTTAATGTGACCCTTCTCCATTATGTAACCAAATATCATCCCGGTGAAATATGCTGTACTGTATCGAAAAGCTGTCATATGTAACAAATGCATTGTATGGCCCGGTATGCTATTTTAATATAATAAATACATTAACTTTTTAAATTAAAATTGATAAATTAAGAAAAGTAAATGTAATTAATTTTTTGTACACTAACTATCCAAGATTAAATAATTATTAGTGTAATTTTTAAAAAGTTAATACCACATGATCACATAAGTAGTTAAAATAATGTAATACTGCTTACTAAATAGGACTGACGATATAAGTAGTGAAACCCATGGCATCGGATACGACTTCAGTAGTAATGCCATTGGAGTACACACTATGAAACACTGTTATTATGGACCACATGTTGGCACCGATTAGGGCACAGACACCTAGTTTTGGTTTTCTATTTACAAATACATAATTGTATGTAAAGTCAAATTAAAGTTTAATGCTTACTTGAGCATCAAGATAGCAAATATTGGTGTACACACTACGTATTGAACGATTACCATGTATGTATACGTTATTGGCATACACTATATATAAATATAATTAATAAAAATGTATTTTAAAATATACATGTTAATAATAACTACTACATTACCATTCCGTTATCCCTATTGATAAAATTGCCGACAAATAGCAAATTGTAGACCAGATTGTCGTAACACAAACCCTCGACCCGTTTGTCTGCAAACCTCGGACTAACCCAATAGCGGATGTAAATCATGAAGAAATAGTAACACAAGTAATAAATCGGAATAATTCTCATCAAACGATCGAAATAATAGCGAATTGTGATTAGAGTCAGTCGTTTGC